GAAAGAAGGTGCAGCTACCTGTTAAAAATAAGAAATTCCGTTACATAATCCGTTAAAACAACAAATTCCGTTAGTTTTTTCGTTAAACCAACAAATTCCGTTAAATAGACACTTTTTATAATAGAAAGATATGATGGATACCGACTTTAGGATGAAAGTATACGTTGTCAATGGTATCAATCAATCATAGATATTTAATGCTAATACCATTTTGTTGTCCTAAAGTCTAACACAAAACTTGGACTTGACCTGATTGGTTGAATATGACGACAGTAACAGCGAATTGTCACGCCATTCATTTACTGAAGATTTCAAAAAAGATCTCTTGCTAAACCCCTTTACAGCCTCGCCTCGCATGAAGCGCTCTCCATATGGGTCGACTCTCTATAGAGGTCTAGCCTTCATCACGGGGGTTTGACCAAATTGCTACTTGGGCATAATGACGTAGAGTGCAAGCCCAAATTTGCTTGTTGTGTAGCTGCCACGTAGGAGTTTTGGATTCTCGTTGGAAGTGACGTAACAAGTTTCATGAAATTTACAATTTTTATTAAAAAATTAATTTTAAGCTACGTCAAACAAAAGGCTTAATATTTTTCAATGTAACGAAATTTGAATAAATTTGTTTTTCTCACTTTTAAATAAATAAAATAATTGTCTATTGTCACGTTATGATGAACTTTTGTAAGGTTAGCCAATCATACTCCAAATACTAATTGACCACTCCACACAGTCTATATACTACACTTTTATTAGATTCCGTCACGCAACGCTACACGAGACGTTGGACTCATTCCTTGAACTAAGCGAGGCATCATTAACTACTTACATTATTTTTTTTGTAATAAATATTAAAACTCCTATGGTCTTATTAGACATGGATTATGTTACTATCAAACCTTATTAATTTAGGAGGTGTCTGAGAACACTTTTTCAAACTAATTAAAATCATTTTTATAGTCGTTAACAGCAAACTAGCAGCAATAATTGACTGCTCCACTCACAGCTGGGGCTCAAAAATTGACTGCAACGATCCAATTTTTCCATTGCAACGGTTGGAATTACAATTAAAATTCCAACCAGACACACGCTTAATCAAGCTGTGTAGCTATTTGTACAAAGTTGAGTTATAAAATTTGGATTACAAAGTGTGTTGGCAAAATTCAGATCGTTAATTTCAAATGATTTAAAAATCTGATTTTAAAATAATTCATGTAGATGTTATTTTGTCAACTAATTTTGTAATCGTCCCACTTTTTACTCTTACACCGACATAATATAAGTAATTTTTTATTTTTCTCCTGAATGCAAATATAAATTAATTAAATTAGATTTTAATTGCAACTAATTAATAATACATAAAAACAGTTATTATTATTATATATAAAACAGTTATGTTGCAGCCTTTTTTAGTAGAAAATAATCGGTTTAATTGTCAATTTTTTTCATGAAAAATGTGTATTTTCTACATAATTTTCTACATTTGTGCTGTTTGATTGATAATTTTTCGAAAAATATTTTGCTACTTTTAATAACGTAACCATATTTTTCTTGAAAATAAGAAAAATATTTTCTTTAAGGTGAGTTGATTTTTATTTTTCAAGGCAAATAAAATGGCGTTCATCAAATTGCATTGTATTCACTATTCAAACTCCAACTTTTGTTACGATTAAGTGACTAAAACGAAATTTAGTTCAAAGTTGAAGGACCTCCTGTTATTTTTAACCATTATAAGCTATGAACTTCAAAACATTTTTTTTCGAAATTTGGACAAAAAATAACGAAAAAAAAAACTTCTGACAAATTCTCCAAAAAGCAGCACTATAAAACGTGCTCACCAAGCGAGAACGGTGTCCCCTCCTCACCACCATTCACGTCGTTGCTCGGCCGCCGCCACCACCACCACACTACTATGGTTCTTAAGTTTGCAAAACCAACCCTCCTTAATAACATCCAGAGATAATAAATTTGCGGTTGATAAATCCAACTTTTTGTATATATATATGGGGGCATCATTATCGCTTTTGACGGAGAATGGGTCGGGAAACGGGGGTCCTAGTCTGGGGGATATACCGGAGAGCTGCGTGGCGTGTGTGTTTCTGTACCTGACACCGCCCGAGATTTGCAATCTGGCTCGCCTCAATTGGGCTTTCCGTGGGGCCGCCTCATCCGACGCCGTTTGGGAAGCCAAGCTTCCTTCCAACTACCACAATCTCCTCGACATCCTCCCCCGTTCCGACGGAGATACCGACCACAAACTCTCCAAGAAAGCCATATTTGCCGTCCTCTCGCGTCCCCATCCCTTCGACGACGGCAACAAGGCACGTAAAAATAAAAATCCCTTTTACTTAAGAAAAAGGAAATATTTTTAAAAAAATTTCGCGTTATAATTTATACTATCACTCTAATCTTCTACTCTCTGCGTGGTAAGATGATGGATCTAATTTTGAATTTTGTGCTACTTAGAGTGTGTTTGGTAGGGATTTTTGGGGGAAGAATTGATTTTTGAATAGTGATATGATGGGAAATGTGTGGTTGAAAAAGAAGAAAAAATTATTGATGTGATGGAAAATATTATTTTATTAAAGAATATGTGATTGAAAATGAGAATTGATTTATTGTAGAAAATGAGAATCTGTACCAAATATGCTCTTAATTTTTCGAAATGATTAGGGTTTTGGTTCTTTATTTATTTTCACTAATTTGTTAAAAGTGTAATTGGGAGAATTTAGCATTCTGTGCTAAACATTTTCTAAATTGGAATTTGAACGTGAATCAACCTCCATAATTTCTTTCCGTGGTTTGGAGAAATTTGATGTTGATAGTTGAGTTTTATACGTTTTGAGGGTTGATGAAAGTTGAAATTTGTTCATTAGTAAATTATGTATACATAATTTGAGTTTTATGGGTCTATAATTATTGCAGGATTTTTTCATTTTAGTGTATTGAGTGATTAGAAATCTTTTATTTGGTACTTCCAATTTGGATTTATGCGGGTAATCGATACTGATTCCTGTCTTTCGAACTTGGAGGAATTGCAGGAAGTATGGTTAGACAGGTTTTCTGGGCGGGTTTGCATGTCAATATCAGCCAGGGCAATGGCAATAACAGGGATTGAAGACAGGAGATATTGGAATTGGGTTCATACTGAAGAATCTAGGTTTGATTCTAGCCATTAAAAACACCTGATGCCAGTAGACACCATCATTTTATTTTTAGTTGATCCATCCTCTAGATACCTCTTTGCTTCTGCTTGTTACGTTCATAAAAGTAGTGTTCTAAAAATCACAAAGCGTGGCTAGGCCAAACTTCAAGCTTAGGCAAAGCCTTAAAACAGTATAATGTGTGGCCTTGAGGTAAGGCCAAGCTTCAAGCCTAGATGAGCTTTTTAGAGCAATGCATAAAAGATGTTAATAGTTTTGAACTTTTTTATATATTTTTGTTGGATTACGGTCCTATTTAAATTTATACTGTGCATTTTTTTTTGAGTATTTTGGAACTCAATTTTGATGTTGCATGGAACAAGAAAAGAATTTTGTTTAAATAAGATGGACACTCCCTATTGGACTAGTTTTCTTGTTAATATCTCCTTGAGAAAAATAATTGGATCTTTTCTTTTTTTTCAATGGATGGACTGCATGTTTTGCTCCTATGTTCAATGTTCTTTGGAAGAACTAATATCTGAACAGTTACGATTGTTCGGACCTACTGCAGGTTTAAATGACTCCTATTTTGTCCTGTCCTCATATCTGGTAAATGCCATCGTGTAGGTGTTAGATTTTTATTTTTTTATTTTTTTTGAAATAATTATTAAGCATTGCTTGATATCGTGAATATCTGAAAGGGAGAGAAGGAATCTTATTGTTTCATCAGGAATAGTGTTATGAAAACTAGCATCTATTAGTTTGTTGATTCTTAATTTTGATCGATATAGTTAACCAAGCATTGATTATGAGAAAATAGTAAAATTTCAGTTATCTGTGGATTTTATAATGTTATATCAATGTATGAACTTAAGCATATGCACTAGAACATCAATTTCGCTCATATTTAACAGGATAAAGAGATTGCACATAGATCAGATGTAAGAGAGTTATTTTTGTTTATCAATTTGGGACTCAGTAATAGTATGATCACTAGAATATCCATTTGGGCGGTGGATTAGCTTAACTGCACCATGCGCTAATGGGGATCCAGAGCTCAATGTGTGGTTTTGACTCTTCCCCGTTCCAGGTCGCAATCCTTTATAAACAAAATTGCATCATGATTAAAATCTGATACTGTGTATATTTAAGTTTTAAAGCTACAATTACATAGTCCCTATTGCGTGCTTAGCCCTCATTTGGGCTCCATTTTTTAATGAGGTTTTGGAAAAAAATGAATTTTAGAATAGTAATATTTTGGAGGATGTGTGAATAAAAAGCAAGGAAAAGTTTTGGGTTTAAGCGTAATATTATTTTATTGAAAAGTAAGTGGTTGAAAATGAGTTTTGGAAAAATATTTTTTTGATTTAATGGATGGAGCGCAAACAAGGGCTTAACATTTCCGAGTGCCATATCCTCAGCACGTTTGTAAGTAGCAAAATATTACGTGTTGCATTTGCATTTGAAGGCAAAAACTGAATATTTCTGCTTTAGATACACAGTTGGCATATCCTTGCCTTGTGTAGTGGTGACATCATTTCTAAATAGTGCTTGCTGATTGTCTTGGCCTTGAGTAGGGCTCTAAATGAATCGGATGGTGACCAGATCAGTCCATATTCAATCCAATTTGATAATCCAACATATATTTGATTGTTTAATCCATGTTCGATTTTCTATGTTATCGGATATCCGATCCGAAATTAAAGAAATTAGGGAAATAAAATCAACGTTGAAATTAACTATTTAAAATTTTTTTTTTTTATAATTTTTCCAATTCTTCAACAGATTTAATAATTATAAATTTTTTGAATTTTTTAACTTTTAGGCAATTGGATTGAAAGACACAAAAAATTGCTTACCTATTTATTGACTCATTTATAGAGGACATCTTTAAACATTTTGTTATAAACTTTCGATGTGGGATAAAAATCCATTTGGTTTGGCTGTAGTATATTTTACCTTTGGTTTGATTGTATTGTATTGTACATTTGGTTTGACGGTAGTGTATTGTACTGTTATATAAATAGTTATTTATATTTTATCAAATTAATTGTTTTTACTATCTTTTACTAATTAATAAAAATTTAAAACTCTCCAAATATTTCAATTAATACTATTATATTTTATCTTAATATATTTGGCCCATGTTTGGTAGTGATTAAAATTAGATTTTTAGTAGATTTTGATAAAATTTGATGAAATGTGTGGTTAAAAAGTTGTGAGATCAATAAAATATGTGGCTAATATTGATTGTTTAACTTTGACTTATGATTTTAATCAATACCGAGGCTTATTTTGTTAAACTCTTAAAACTGCATTTGACATTATAATTTGTATTTAAATAATTTTTAGATCGAATAAAATTTTTAAATAAAATATATATACACACATATATTTTACGTTTTTTATGCGTAGGCGAGTCTAGCCCGAAACCTCCATGCATTGCTCATTTTGAAAACACTGTGACATGTGGATTAACTTTCTTACTATTATTATTATTATTATTTTTTTTTTTTTTTGAATTTAATGACTTTTTTATTCCAAATTTCTTTATTTTCTCATGTATTTATTTTAGTGACAAATAACATGCCATAAAAATATTTAATGAACTCAACTATTTATAACAAATCGGATCGGGTTGTAATCGGATCGGATTGACCTATATTCATATTTGATTCATTTAGTCAACGGATTATCGGATTCAGATCTTAATCGGATTATCGTACTGAGATCCTAAATCCATCTCTCATTAATTTCATCATATTCGGATTAAAATCCAATCCATTGACATCCCTAGCCTTGAGCAATGAAATTTCCTGAATATTTGAGATTATGGTATTGGATTGTATTTAAGGGAGATATTTTTTAAGGCAATAAGCTATCATGAATGAAGTGTTGTATGTCCAAACTTCAATTTAGACATAAGGAAGGTGATAGATAAGAAGGGTAAGTTGCACTTGGCTGTCAGTTTTCTATATCAGCAGAGTCTTCAATAAGTGGTTATGCATCCCTAGCATAGCGATTATCATGCTTGATTAAATGTGTAAGACTTGGTGCTGTTGAGATCAATGGGCATAACCATTGCTGAAGCTTTTGCCCTCATATTAATAAGTCAAGAACTTTTTTTGCTCGTAGGAAAATGAAGCCATAAAGCTTAAATTGAGGATGCAAATATATGTGAAGTTTTTTGTTTAGTGCTTGAAGGCGCTTCGCCCGGGAGAATTTTATCAAGGATCAGATGAAACAATAAATCCTTCTACCTTTGTTTTGTTAGAGAGCTATATACTTTTTGACCTCTGATGGGTTCATAAAAACACAAAAGTTTATATACCTTGGTTTATGTCTTCCTTTATGGTGCTATAATATTATGCATGTGCTATGTATTATTGTCAGTCTTGCCCGTCTCACTTTTTTATGGAAATATTTGCGAAACCTATCAGCCAAATGACTATAAATAACCAAGTTCTAGTTCAACTCTGCTTGACGCTGGAATCATGAAGCCCTGTTTGGTTTAGATAAAAATCAGATTTGATAAAAGTTGTGGATCCCTTAAAATGTGTGATTGAAATTAGTTTGAGGAAAAAATGAGTTTTGGAAAATGGGGTACAAACGGGCGAAATCATATTAATATCCACAGTTAGAGCAAAATCTGATTGTTGCTGTACAAATCAGGGTGAATGGGGCTTTTATTGGACTCGCAAAATCTTGCGTCCAACATGTTAGGCACTCTGAGGTTATCTGCACACAGTTTTGGCAAGTGACTACTGATTTAACGGTCTGATGAAATCTTGTTTGTCTATTTGAAAATGAATGTTTGATATGTTGAGAAGCTTTCTGTTTGTATATTGTAGAACATAACTGAGAATTCTGTATTTATGGCACCAAAACTAATACCATCTGCCAATTTAACCAGCTTGCCCATATTTCTTCATATATATATATTGCAACGAGATTGGAGCCATTTTAGAGTATGAAATTATCCCTTGTGTGCTGCCTTTTTATTACAGATTTCCTGTTATAGCCTATTTGCAGCAAATATGGTGGTTTGAAGTAGCTGGTGTGGTGAAGTTCCCTTTCAATCCAGACATATATACTTTGTCTTTTAGGATTCACCTTGGAAAATTTTCCAAACGACTTGGACGCCGTGTTTGCAATTTTGAGCACGCTCATGGTTGGGATATAAAACCAGTACGATTTGAATTATCTACTTCAGATGGTCAGCAAGCATCAACTGAGTGCTTTTTAGATGATACTGAACATGATGGCACAAATGGGAACCACAAGCGTGGCTGCTGGATAGATTACAAGGTAGGTGAATTCATAGTTAGTGAATCAGATCCTGAGACTGAAGTGAGATTTTCTATGAAACAGATTGATTGCACGCATTCGAAAGGGGGACTTTGTGTTGATTCTGTATCGATTATTCCCAGTAATTTGAGAGAGCGTAGAAAATGGTTTTTTAAGCGACAATGATGTCGCATGTTCTCGATTTACTAGCAACCCATGAAGGCCCATATTGGGTTATATCGTACAGCTTATACTTCTTGAAACCGTTAATAAATGGAGGATATAATCTAAAATGTTTTTGCAGTAGGTACGTGTCCTCTGCCCATGTAATTTTTATGGTTTTGTAATTCATGCAGTTTTGCTGCACATAAATCTGCAGAACATTAAGAAAATGTGCTATATTTGTTGCCTGATTTTTTGCCAAATACAGTTGATTTTCTTTAATGAGATTCAAAAGAGGTACAGCTCTGTACTTAAACAAACCAGTGACGTTGGTACTCCTCTTTTTTCCCCTTAAACATTTGAATGTGTAGAAATATTCAGAAAAATTGATTACTGGGTAGATTTTGATGCCGTCTGCTTTCCCCTTTGTTAAGACACCGGATTAACTTGGTCCCATTTACTGGTATTATCTAAGTCATTCTGCTGGTGTGTTTATGGATGTTTCTGTACGGTTTTCATTAATCTTTTGACTTTTATTTCTTTCTTTTCATCATTTTTCCCACCCTTTGCGATGGATATCTTGTGATTTTTTGTTTTCCATAGTTTGTAAGTGATTTCGGAATGGTTAGTTGTCGAGGGACTGTTGCCACAAATTTTAGATGGATAAATCCCCAACTACAGGGATAGTTTCACAGGTGGTTTACCACCCCCTCACAAGTGTGGGCCCCACGCATGTATAAAAAATGGAAAAAAAATGCACCCACCCCCTGCATTTGAGTAGCTTGTGAAACTACCCACCCTCCACTCCTGTGAAAATGCCCTGTACTTGTAGCAAACCCATTTTAGATATGTGCTTTCATTTGCTGATGAGGACACTTATCAGCTCATAGCACCAGTGCAACTCTTAAGACTCTTGTTATATGGTTAATTTGTACCATGATATCATTTATGATGTTACTAATTTTGTGGCATTCTGATTTACTTAATTGACCACCAGTTCTGTTTCTCATCTATTGTCAATTATAATGCAAAAAACTAGACCCACTTATACGTATAACTGTGGTAGACATGGATATATGTGAAATAATACACTTCTTTAACTTTGCTATTTCCATCCAGTTCCTGAAACAGAGTTCCTTCACCTGCCACTTTGTCTTTATAAATGATATTTTCTTCAGTGACTGCTATAGCTAGACATGGCACGATTATCTAAGAGAGATTTGAAATGCTTATACTTTGTGTTATATTTTTTTTTATCTTTTTACTTTACTAATTTATTGTTGAAAGAAGTACAGAAGGTTGGTTCATGTGATTTTATTAGCTGAATTTGGATCTATCTTAGCATAATAGTGAGGAAAGAGAGCCAAAAAGAGTACATTTTAGGAAAGTGACATTGATTTTCAATGGAGTAAATAATACTTTAGGTGTAACTGTCATTTGGCCATATTATTGAGTGCCATTTAAATTTCTTGAGTAATGATGGAGTGTAGAGTAGAGTACCTAGAGTTTTTTTTTCATCTAATTGGTTCTTCAAGTTTTGAAAATTTTGGGTGTGTAATTCGTATATGCTTCATAGATGCTCTCACATTTAGTTGTATTTTCTATCGCCACACATACGAGAGGGGTTCTTTTACCGTGGTTTATGTTACACCCATTGTGTACTTGAGTCCCCATCATAATTAGGCTGGAGTTCTGTAGTACGAGAAATACCATAATCCCTGCATATACGAAAAGACTCATCTCTTTGTGTGCGCCCGTCCCCCTTCGAGAGAGTGAGGGGGAGTTGGTTTAGTGTATGGATTGAACAAGTGTAAGGTGAATAGAGGAGGAACTTTTAAGTATAATTTTCTAGTATAATTTACTGATGCTTAAGATCTGTAAATTTTACTTTTAAGGTGATTCAGTGCTGTACTGTGCTTAGATCACATTTAAATGATTTGTAAATATGCTATACTTGTTTTTCTGTCAAAACTTATTATGCTTTTGGTTATTTTTTGCTACAATTTTTTCCTATGAATTTATTACACTAGAAAGGTATCAAACTCCTGTTTCTCTGAAGTTTTTACATTCGCCCCAGTAGAGTGAAAATTTTCCTGCTCCTTTCTTTTCCATATTATGGTTCAGGATATAGTTTACCCCTCGAGAGGCCGTGCATTAATGTCTGAGTTTGGTGATTTTTATGAGGGTGCTGTTGCATCTGACAGAGTATGTAACTTTGGTGGTTGGGAAGTTTAGTACTCCTACATTTAGTAACGGCTGCGTTTACCTTATTTATAACATGGCGTGGATCCACAGTAGATTTGGGTACTCATTGCCTCCCATTAAATCCCTTTAGGAGGGCGGAGGGGGGACCGGCCATAACTCCGTACTCAACCCTCTAGCTGACAGCCTTGGCCGCCTCTGGACAACTTCTTGTCCTTGTACTGGAGATAATTTAGTGAATAAGGAGACGCTTCAATTTATTCGCTCTTCATTGCATGTAGCCACCTTGCAGCAACTGTAAAATTTCAAGATCATCTCAACCGTATGAGCATCATCAACTTGCATTTTACATGTTTGATATGTAACATTAGGTGAAAAAAGAAGTGTGTTTTGAATGCGCGGGTGGGCTAACTCGACCTAGCTACTACAGTAACTATCTGTGTTTTTGTAGAACTGCCCCATGAATGTTTGGGTTTCTAGGATTTATGGTGTCTTTTGTTTGTTTGAGGTTGAGGGAGTAATGTGCATTCTTGAATTTGGTCTGCCCAAGTGGGGTTTTTGTTCTCTCTCTTACGACGGGCGACGTACGTGTATGCATGTTTTATTACAGTATGATCATTTTCGTATTCAAGTGTTAACACTGTTTACTGCAAAATAACCAGAATTGTACAGCTAGAATTCATTGCAAAATTTCACGAGACTTACCCCAAATATCATAAATTTTAATATTGAACTAATATTAATTTAAGGAAAAAATTAAAATTGTCGGTGAGAATTTTCAAAACAAGGTTTTTGGTGATGAAAAATATTCATGTTAGTAATATTGTTCTATTTAGCATCAATTAATGTTGTCACAACTGAGATCAAGTGTACGAGGATTAGTAGTTCCCTTCTCTCTTCTTCGCCTAAAAAAAATAAAAAAAATTGTTGTGCTTTGAATTGAAAGGTTCATAGAATATTTGGATGCAATGTGAGCCACTATTTGTGTGACATTTTCATTTTCATTCTCATTCTTATTTTTCTACTCATTTTTAACCACACATTTTTTAATAAAATAATATTTTCCATTACATTAATAATTTTTCTTTCTTTTCAATTGCATATTCACTATCACATCACAAAAAAAAAAAAAAAAAAAAAAAAAAAAAACATTTTTTCTATTTTAATGTGCATCAATCGAACTTTTATTATCCACAACATTTTTAAAATTGAAAATCCATCTAGTCGACCCCCTAAAAAAGTAAACAAGGAAAAAATATTGCAAACAACGATCCTATAGTTTTATTTTACATTATTTACTAAAATCAACATGTGTACAAATATTGCAAAACAAGTATCTTCTTGTACTTATTATAATCGACTAGTTTCACTATTAAAAGGCCAAAAAAACCAAAAAAAAAAAAAAACAGAGGCATCCTATGTTTGATCTCGGAATCTGCACTATGAGTGACGGACGGACCATTTCATTTCTAGAAATAAAAACTTGGAGGGTCAAAATTAATACAATCCTATAGATATGTCCTTATTGAGGAACAGTTTTTCTTGTACTACAAGAGGAAAATGGACAACCCTCATTTATAGCAATAATTTAAATCTTGTTAATTATTTTTATTACAAAGAAAGAGGACTAGCTTTTGGAGTTTACAACAAAATAATGTTTCAAGATCATAACTACATAATATAAATAGCAGCATAACTTAAATCTTATTTAACTATTTAGATAAAATCATTTTGTACATATTAAATCTTTTAAAAACTTGAAATTAAAATCAAATGAAAAGTTTTTTTTTTTTAAACAAAGAAATTTTATAAGCTAAAGTCAAATAAAAAAATTTTAAAAAAAGAAAAAAAAATTAATAGAGTGCTTAAGGAAAATGAAAGAGATGAAGGAAAAAATTCAGTCATTTAGGAATTGGAAAAAAAAAAGTATCTAAGTGCAATCGAAACAAAGCGTTTTGCCCGAATTTCGAGCCAAGCACACTTGTTGCAATATTGTCGTTTTCTTGCGTTAATTAGTGAATAAAATTGGAATTTTGGAATTTTTTGAGTCTTTCTTTGTAAATTATTATTTTGCGGAATCAACGCTTTGTTGATAAAATTAATGTTTGATGTTTGTGTTTAATCATCGAGATCATGATTTCAATCAAACTTCAATGCTCGGCTAAATTATCAGTGTCGTTCGGAAACAACGAGCTTTATTCTTACAACATGACATGCTTCACTCATTTCGTACATTTTACGATAACGAATGTATCATATTGATATTTAGAAATGGTCGTTTCCTCTACTCAAATAAAGTCTTATTAAAATTGGATTGAAACAACAAATATATTTTTATTATTGGAGCCAATCACGAGAAAAAAATAATTTAATTCATGGGAATGCTCGTGGTGTCGTGAAAAACTATGTTTAAAACATATTTTAATTAATGACGTAATATTGTATACTATTGTTAATTTTGACAATATATTTAAGTGTGCAACGTGTTCACACCTTAATACGTCCTTGTTTGATCCTCATTATTTTAAAATATTTTTTTTATTCTTTTTAACAATACATTCTTCAATAAAATAATAGTAAATACAAGTTAAATTTTTTCCTTATATTTTAACAACACATTCTCCATTAATCAACTATTCCAAAATGCAATTTTTGATAAAAATGAGGCTCAAACAGGCTTTACAAAAATTTAACATATTAAAACTAGGGGTGACAAAATGGCCGCGTAGCTCGTCGGCTTGGCCCATGGACTGCTCGAGCTCGTTTTGGGACTAGCCCAAGCTGAGCAAAGCTAGGCTCGTCGAGCTCGCGAACGGCTCGTGTGCCCACGAGTCTAAAGTTGACGAGAGCTCGTGGGTTCGTAAAAAATCTGAAGAAAAAAGTAAAAAAAAAAAAATTAAAATTTTTTTTTTTTTTAAAAAGCCAAAAAAAAAAACACGAGCTCTTGGGCTCAGCTCAGCTTGTGAGCTCACGAGCTCGTGCGCCGACCCAAGCTCGACCCTTGAGTACAAGCCGAGCTCATGGATCGATCCATTGCCACCATTAATTAAAACACATCATTAAACGTACAAATTAATTAATTCTCAGCAGAAAACTTTAGTTTTAGTCCAAATAATGAATGGCCCGTGACCAGGTCCAAGAGACGAAATTTATTCTAATAAAGTATTCATAATTACACTCTTTAGTGTGTTATATTGTTTTCAAACTACTTTGAAAACATTTCATCATAATTGGATTAAGGGTTCGTTTGGAAGAATTTTCGCTTCTGTTTCTACTTCTTGTAGAAGAGTTTATCGAAAAAAAATCTAAATTAGGTCTGTTTCCTCCAAAAACTATTCTATCAGATAAAAAAAATTTTAGAAAATTATCTAAACATGTTAAAAAACAGTTTTTGATTTTCAAAAGTCCCGTCGAACAAGTCCTAACTCAATTTCTTTGGAGATAGTACATATCGAGTGAAAATGATGTAGAGCTTAGATCAGGACAGTAAATTTTGATGACCGAACATCGATTAAAAAGAACGACGATTTTAGTGTTCTACACTTGCTTTTTCATTGGGTAAAAACTCTAATAATAGAGAAGTAAGAATGCGTTAGACGTAAACTACTACATGCCCATCCAATTGTCCATTCTCTCTTTTCTTCTTCATGCAATGCATTATTATTATGATGGTACATTAATTAATAAAATTTTAACTTCGTAAATCAAGAGGAGAGTCTAATTAGTTATGAGCTGTAAATCCTACTCAACGCTCATTTTGTAGGATCTGATTATAGACCCAACCCCATTCATTGAATGCAGTTGCAGAGAAAGCAAAAGATCCAAAGAGAAGGGTTGTGATCAGCTTTCTCTCTAATTTACCCTCTTTTTGTGCTTCTTTAAACCGTGTCATTTACTGGTGCTGTTATAAAGACGTGGCAGGCTCTGTACTGATTCTATGTTTCCTGCTTAAGAAGCCACTTCAGAGAAGAAGGGTGGAGGAGGTTAGGGTAGTGTGGGGTTGAATAGCAGACCTTACTAGGAGGAAGAAACTAGTCAGGATGAGGCGTGAGAAAGGGAAGGCATTTGTCTGTAGTATAAGGGGACCAGATTGAGACCTTTGATTGCCATTTTCATCTTCTTCAAATTTAACCGACAATCTTCTCTTTTATCTCTCTCACACACACACACACACGACACCTACCCACAATTCTCCTGCTATTTATTTATTAGAACTTGCGTCCGAAGTTGAAGCATAAAATCTACAAACCTTGTTCCACTCTTAAAGCTTCTCAGATTCACTTTGTTGCATCAGAAAGGAAGTTAAAAACCCTTCAACCTTTTTCTTCTTCGTTCTACAGAGGGAAAGGAGGTTTAGGGTTTATATTTGCAAACAAAAATGGATTGGAATGGTAATCCTACAGTGCCTTCCGTTTGTCGACCAGTTAGTTCTTCTTTCAACCTCCTCTACAACTATAATTACGATCAATTTCCAGGTAAATCACCAGTCTTATGTTCTATGACAACGTTAAAAGATCATTAGTTTGTGCTATTTTATGTGTTCTCTCGCATGGAGCTCGCAGAAAACAAGTGCATAGGAAGAAAATCTGTGTATACTTTCGCGTAATTGGGATTATAGCTTAATCTCTAATATTTCGTCCCCTATAACTACTTAAGAAATTCGATTAAGGACAACACATGAGAGAGAGATAAAGAATTCTAATCTTTTTAATTGATTTGCACTGCAGTCTTTTAGTTCTGTGTGTTTAACTTGTCAGATAAAGCTGATCCATCTTAATTTACTTTGTCTTCCATTCGTTAAAATTTGAAAACATCAACTAAAAGTAATAGTTGTTTCTGGTTGCCTTCATTCTGAGCAACTTTTAGTGTTCGATCTTTTTCAGGTTTAGAGATGAGACAGTTGATGCAGACACAACATGCATTTCTCCCGACAATGGACAAGAACAACAATAATTATGAAAACCAGGACAAGAAGAAAAGATTAACAAATGACCAGTTGGAGTCATTGGAAAACAGTTTTCAAGAGGAGATTAAGCTGGACCCTGATAGGAAGATGAAGCTGGCCAAGGATCTTGGGCTGCAGCCACGCCAAATTGCGGTTTGGTTCCAGAACAGGAGAGCTAGGTGGAAGGCGAAGCAGCTCGAGAGATTGTACGATTCGCTTAAGCAGGAGTACAATGCTGTGTCCAGAGAGAAACAACAACTCCAGGAAGAGGTTAGTGTAGTTGCATAGCAATTTCAATTCTCTCTAAGCCTATAGTCACGCAAAAGACTTGGTTTTTAACCTTTTTATTTTTTTCATCTTTAACAGTATCCAACTCGTTTTCTAACTTGTGAATTTGTTACTGTTTCAACCGCAAGGTTTTGGCATTGAGGGCAATACTCAAGGAGCAATTGACAAAAAAGCAAGCCTCCACCGGTTACACAGAAGTTTCCGGCGATGAGACAGTCGAAAGCACGTCGATTCCAAGCTCCGACAAGCCTCGAGGAGGGACGAGTATTCATCACCAGATTGCAGAATGCAACTATGTCCTGAACATGGAAGACTATAATCCTATGATGCCTCCATATTGGGCTGCTCTACCTTCTTGTCCCTGAACTCTCTCTATCTTGTTTATACTTAGTTTAATAATTCTAGTTCAGGTCCTAAGCTCTAAGTTCTTACTACTTTACTTCTTAGAAAATAGGAATTAATTTCTCTGTGACAGATTTAGTTATAACTTTTAATGTTGAGGTTGCCAAACCTCAACTTATTTAGGTTAATAGGCCTCTAGTGACCAACAATGCTTTATCCTGAGTCTGCTATTATTAATGTGGTTTTAACTTCTTCATGTGATAAGCATCATTTTAAAACAAAGTCAAATGAGAGAAAATAATGTTGCGATGTGTACTTTTGTTATTGTATAGTAGTTTATATGATTGTAACAGCTATTGTCACATTGTTCAAAGAAGGTGAGATGCATTTTTATTTAAGAATGAATTATTACCACCGGGCTTATATTTGCGCCTCTAATCAAATGAAATGGGATGAAAATTGAGGAGAACAAAAATGAAATAAACAGTTTGTCAATGGTGGTTGACAGCAATATCAAGCTTTAGAATTGCCCCTCAAAATAGGTACAAAAATGTTACTTGTACCGAATTTTTGTGCAAACTAATTTATAGGTGCCTAGATAGCAAAATTAATTAATTGCGTGTATAACTTTGTTTTTTGTCCAAAATCCAATGAAATCTTGCCGACATTTTGTAAACCTGTACATGTAGCATTTTTCTGGGGTACTTTTAGTTTGGCCATGTCAGCATATCGATTTTCGACATAAGCCAATTTTTTTTTGACATTCACCATAATGACATTTTAATGATTAAAAGATAAATATATCATTAAATATGTTACATAATTACAAAAGTATGGTGTTACTTAAAAGACAATAATTCCCTTTTAAGTTACAAAGAAATCGAAACAATTTTCACTTAAAATTTCAAAACAAAGTCACTTTTTTTTATCTGTTTACTCCAACACAGAGAAAAACTATTTCATTTTTCATCCGATTCAACTTTAAAATCTTCTAAATTTATCAAACACTCAATAAAAAAAATATTGTTTATAGCCATCCTTTTGAATCGGTAAGTATATTTATTTATATTTAATTTCGTTTTCATTAAATTAATATATTGTTTTAATAAATCTTATTTCGATATAGACATATAAATTTTTACATTTATTAAACATATCTATAATATTTTAAAGCAAAAATGGAAAAAAAAACAAAAATCATTTGCATGTATATTATTTCAGACAGATTCATGTCTGTCTGTAAAATCGCTAACCCAGCCATTTGGGCACGAAAAACAGTTAGTCCTGCCATCTAGGCTAGCCTTGTCTTCGGCCCCAATTCGCTGGGTCGGGGATGGGTCGACATTTAACCTCGGTCCAACCGTTTTTTGTTTGTTGCCATAATTATCTATTTTTTTTTAAAAAAAAATTATGTTTCATATTGTAGATATGGGATCAACTGCAGTCCCGATTTGTTACTTTGATGAATTTGAAATGACTGAAAATGATCGATAGGTATGAAAATGGATGAGTGAAAGACGTGGTGCTATTGCAATTGTGATAACATCGAGTACATTATATATAGAAATGTACCATGATTTACAGAAAAAGCTCAATGTCGATCCTCTCAGTGCGGCATGAAATTGAGATTTTACGAGCATATATCCATTTCAATTTCACCTGTAAATGTTACTTTTGAAGCTGAAATAAAGGTTCTAATTGAATTGAACCAAAATCGCATGACTTCTAGTTGTGTAAATTTAACGAGGAAGAATGTCCCCGATAGTGAACACGAAAATTCAGATATAGGGGATTGTAATGCAAATGATTTTTGGGATATAATTGAGAAAACTCGTAAGGATGATGTAGTTATTCACGAGACATTTGTTTCTCACCACGATCCCACTATTACACACATAATTCCTTCGATAGTTTAAGACAACAAGAATGAAAATAAATTTACAAATGAGAATTTGATTGCTTTTCTCCCGTCGCAAACATGAGTCGGATGAGAACTCACAAACTGGAACGAGTTCACGGTCTTCTAGTTGTTCATGTGTGGTTTTCGATGATGAAGATTTGCACGTCGAGTAACTGTTTGAAATAAAGAAAGATTTGCAGAAAACTGTGCACCGAATTGCATTGAAACATAATTTTGAGTTTAAAGTAAAGATGAACAAGAACGATTTTTTTTGTAGTTCGCAAGTATGCACATGAACATATTTGCGAAGTGAGTATTTGTTGAAATAATCACAGGCAAGTCCAACTATGATTTATTGGTCGATAGATAATATACAAGTTTTAGAACCCACGAATGATATACAGACTTTGAGACATCATTAACGACGTTTGTCAAGAGTACGATGTGGTCATAAGCTACCGAAGACCAAAGAATGCGCGTTGAAGGATTTAATGGGTTCGACCGAGGAAAGTTATGCTATTTTGGCAAGTATTGCTATAACATTGGGATAACTAATCGTGTATGAACACTTTTTATTGAGACGGAGGGCGAGAATCACTTCAAGTACTTCTTCATGGCTCTTGGATAATATATTTGGGAATTTTGAAACGTGATGCGACCCCTAATTCTAGTTGACGATACAATCCTTAAAGTTAGATACGAAGGCAAGTCGATTCTTGGTGAAATCAATGGAGAAAATGTTGTTCCTCGTGTTGTAATATTCAGATTATGGCTAAGTGTGGTTTGCTGTGTTCATGGTGAACACTAACTTGATTGGTTAGAACGTTGAAAAATATAAGTTTGCTATGGCTTGATCTTTGTATTTTTTGATCAATTTTGTAAGCTTGGTTATCGTTTTGGGCTATTATAGTACAAGTGAGCATCATCCACTTTTGAGGATGTTCAACAAGGAATTAGGTAGGCCAAAAATCCTTGTGTTCTTATTTTAGTTTTCTTCAATTTTATGTTTTCGTAATTTAAGTTTTCTGTGATTAATCGAGTTCTCGTATATTTATGGGCATTTCAGCTTGCAGTTTTTTGCACCTTGGCCATTTCCTATACCTTCTTTGTTGGAATTTACAAGTATGTAACGATTAAAATGTGCGAATTTAAATAAGTCTTCAATAGGAGTGATGATCGGGTATGACTCTATAAGTACAATATGTGCATAATAAAGAGTTATGTCATCTAGATATGGTGCAATCTAGACCATTGATCATGTCCCAATCTGAAAAGGTGTGATTCGATGACTAAAATAAATGTGTCAAAAGAAGCTACCATTGGGAAAAAAACATATTGGAGTCTATAAATTGGACCTTCTCAATTCCGTTTTACTCAAATCTAAATCAATTCCAAATAAATAATTTCTAATTCTTCTCTCAAAATAATAATGTTCAAATTATTTTCAAGTTTTACTGTACGATATTTTAGTATTCGATATCATTCGGTCTAGAAAAGTACCGTTCATCTGATAAAACTAATATTGTGAACATAAGTGTTCAATTTGGGAGACATTAGCACTAATGCAAGAGGTGAAATATGTCTTTTGAAAATTTGCAATCGCATGACTCGCTTCATTTTATCTCCTTGTAATTTCTAAATTTCGATATTTTTTATGTACTTATCTTGATTTTGGTAAGTCGAAACACTATCCAATAATTTGCATGTTAATAGAATATAAATCATGCACATATTTTTAGCTATATATCACACAAATTTCTCCAACAATAAGACAAATTTCTTTTGATTTTTTTATATTATGTTTTTTACTGCATAAATCAATTATTTAAATTCAATATTAAAACAATCTGGTAATGCAATCTATGTGTTGAGTGCATGAAAATTTTGAAGTTTTTAAATGCGGTAATCTTGATTCTGAAATTGATCTTTATTTCAGAATTCTAAAATCATACAGTTGTGCATTATCATTACAATTTCGTGCAGAAATCATTGAGGCCTTTTGTGCAGAAATTGGAGTGCACCATTGGGGTGTTTTCGACTATGTCGTGAACGGAGGGAGGGCATACTCATTATTGAGTAATACAGAATGTTAGATGCCCCTAATTTGTGTATTCATTTTTAAATGGATCTTGTAACCCTTCACTTGGATGAGTATTTAGAAATCAAAGTAAACTTTTATCGTACAGTCCAGTTTGTCCTTAAGGAAAAATGAACATCCATGAATATCGTAATCGGAGCTGGTCCTGAAATTTTGGGTATCATGTGTAACATTTTAAAATGAGGCCCCTTTTTTTCATAAATATTGTGCCATTTAACTAACATAATGATGCAGGAGGATCCGAGTCAGATGAAGCCGAGTTGTCAGATAGCTCGTTGATGGCGCTGATGTACCATGAGTTGGCGGATCGACGTAAGAATGGAAAGTAATCAACGACATTTCCTAATTGGGGCCAATCTTGGACACGTGTTGGTATTTTGACCGTAACTTTGGCTACGGTTGTCGGAATCACGACCGTGACCCCAATTCGGAAAGCTCTTTTCGGCGCGCACGTCATGATCACCCAGCTATGCTCGATGTGCATCGGTATCGAGGTTAAATTCAGCTATTTTCCCTTCCGAATCATCGATTTAAGTTATTTTTTGTCATTTATGGTAATATTTCGGTTTCCTTTTTGTCATAGAATAATTGCTCGATTTGAGCCGGATTTTGGTGATATTGTTTCTTTAATTAAGTATTTTATTTTGGTATGAATAATAGGATTTTGCTATTTTTGGCAAATTTCCGATAGTTGCTATTTTTCTGGCTATTTAACCCGGCTTGTGGGTTATTTTCATTCAATTGTTGAATAATAAAGATTTTTCTCATTTTGTCTTTGTGTTTCTCTTGCGTTCTTCTCTGTATTTGTCAATTGGTTCCTGCACGCAGAATAATCACTATTCTGCCCGACGTCAGTTGGTATCAGAGCTTTAGCATCTTCTTGGACTAGATTTCATCGGTCAATCATGGTTGGTGGTCGTGGTCGCAGAGGGCAGGTTTCGAATGAGGAAGTCCCACACCGTGATCGTAACACTCAGGATGTGACGATTGAAGACTTACAGAGGCAAGTTGCAGAGTTAACTCAG